ACACACATACACACATATAAGGTTACAAACATTCAAATCAATTAGCAATCTCTTTGCAATTTACCTTCAATACTTTAGATTTGGATAACATTTGTAATAAATGAGATGTAAAATGACGAAAAATAAAATGCGGGAATGGCGTGATCGTTTCTGTGGCAAAACCGAATGATTATTAGTATAATTAATTATACGATAAAAATATGATATTGCCCTTTTACTTAATTACTTCACATAATTAACAATCGTAAAATGACGAGAACTACAACACTTTATAGCAATTACTATCAAAGAGCAGTTCAAGTTATGATATAACCGAAATAAATTTTTAGCTTGAATTAATCGAATTACCGCTTATCTTTACTCTTTGAATTTTAATAAGGCTGTGGGTTATTATTTTAGTTAGATATTATTAATATGATTTGAAAATATCATAAATTTAATTTCAACTAACAAGACAAACAAATTTGAATTTAAGTTAATCTATAATCGATGAGACTATCAATTCAAAAATTTTTCTTATTTTAATGCTAAATAATTATTATCAAAATTTGAATGTAAGAAGAATTGAGACAAAAATGAAAGGGTACGGAAATAATTTCATATGAATAATTGCATCAAACCATTGAACTGAAAATAGTATGAAATGATAACGGATGAGTTAAAAATAGAAAATTTTTCAGATGCAAAACGCAAAAGGTAAACATGTGAAAGGGTACTAAAATGTTCATCTGATAAGTTTTAATAAGAAATGAAAAATTTTAACAAATATTTTGATTGTCAACCGCACTGCTAGAAACCTGTTCAGGTATTTAAATTGCTTATAATATTTTGCTAATTTAAAATATTTTCCAGATAAAATTGAAATTTTAAAATACAAATTATCATAATATAAGACTCTGACAGTTTAATTCATCACTTTCAACATATGAAGCAAGATATGAGAAATTGATAAATATCGTCGTAGTTTATTAGAAATTCCTGATTATCGATTTAATTTATTTAAAATTAACCATTTTGAGAGCAAAATATAAGCTGAAAAAATTCATCTTTAACATATATCATTGCAATTAACAAAAAATACAGCCAGAGATAGTTTAACCCTTTAGTGAAGTGTTTATTTTAAAATCAAACTGTTACGTCAAATTTGTTTAGTCTTTTAATGGTCATTCCTTTAAATGTATGCAAAGGAAAATCATTACTTTGAGTAAATGTATAACTCTTCCTCAAACATCATCCTTTCTGCTAGAAATGGAAATTAATGGATGAGAAGAGTGAAAACACCTGCGTAAATAAACGATAATTGATGAACAATGATTGAGAAGCGGCAAAGGATAACAGTGTAGTTCCCTCGGGACGCAAACGTTAAGTTACATCACCGAAACACATCAGCCGGCATGCTACGTTTGTTATTATTATTATATTATTATTACAGTCGGCTTATTCTTTTACAATTCAACCTTAAAAGATATATACCGCCCAGAACAAAGGGCCACATTCTTTGACACTTCAAAGGCTTGCAGGCATGCTTCGTTAAGAATTTCAATGTAGTGCGCCAAAAATTTTTATTCCTGCAGCTGGCTCCTTGACGCTTCTTTTATCTTATCGCATTGTTGTGATATTTGAATATTTTTTTTGATTTCTTTTCAAAATTAACAAAATTAGGTCAAAATATTAATATTTCATAAGTGAAAATTTATTTAACGATGATATTTCTGCCGTCTTTTTTACACAACGATCACTATCTATGAATTAAATTTTATCTATCATTATCATAAATTGTTCTGCTCTTTTTCTTATTATAAAACAATGAAAACTTTCACAGAAAAAATGCCAAAAAAAATCAATGATGGTACGAATTGATTATGTACCATTATTAACAATCATTATTGCCATTATCATTAAATCGATTATTATTATCACTTTTATTTCTTCGTTTAACAGTATTGTTTTAAATTAGCTCAATTATTACCCTTACTAATTAAACCATAATTCCATATTTAACAATCAAAAATATTTCTATTTAGACTAAATTATATTCAGTTATATACCATTATCGAGTTTCATCTTATGCCTTGCAATTGCGATAATGCATAATGTGTAAAATATGTAAATTACACATGTCACGTCAAAAATGCTTTCCGTTTTGCGCTTTAACTACAATATATGAGGAGATGATTTAGGTTATGCTTTGAAAATATGAATGTAAACTTTTTGATATTACTTTAAAAAAGTAACTTGGTTACTGTATGTAAATGTTGGCAGTATTTGCTGCTATTTTTCGGACAAGGCAGCTTTTCAACAGGAATAGCTTTCATTTGAAAGATTTCAACAGGAATCCTTCAAATGTAAGCTCTACGAAATAGATGTAATAAATGTTTAATTTGAGGAGTTCTTCGTCAACTGATTAAATACAATACTGAATGTGTAGGAGTGATTTTTGGTGAGCCGCAGGGGGTTCCAATCTTTCTCAGTTTTACTCCATGAAATGTAATCATTGAAGTAAATAGATCCCGAAGTAGTCTCACCTACAACAGGTGCTAAAGAGTGAGAAAGAGAGAAAGACTTCTCAGGTGACATTTGAATGAATACATCTAAGCTTCTTTCATTCCACAATCATCTCAAATGATATTGTTCGTTGCAAATGTGACCATCTGGCTTATTTTCTCATACTTTCATAAATTTTTCAAAAATTTTAAAAATTTTTAATAAATATGTAAAGATGCATTACTTCTTAAATGGAAAACGCAATGTTAAATTCAAAAAGAATACGCTAATGTATCACATTGCTATCATTACATAAACAAAATACACCATCAATTGTATCATTTACGTTGTTGCAGAACAAATCTATTTCATCTAATTGTTGCATATTTGTCCAAACAAAAAAATTTTTTTTATTTTAAAATTAATGATACAGCTATGCATATTATGATGGAAATTTTGCTTCGATCATTTCAATTTATCTTTCTAGAAAAATTTACATGAAAATAAAAATGACATGTTTAAAAAAGATTCCAATTGATCCAATTTTTGATAACAAATAAACAGGATTAAGGGTGTTTTGTTGACAAAGCCATATGTGTATGTTACACAACAATCGATGGGACATATATCATTTTGATTATCTTTCGGTTCTCTCTCTATCAGGTAAAATTTATATACTGTAAAGGTATCTATACATATCAATCATATATTAGAAATAAATTTTACTTATTATCATTATTTTTTTCATTCCATCCATATGTTTCATGCATTATTGTGTTGATATTACCTTCCATATATTTTTGGAAAAAAAAAATAATTAGGATTTTTGATATTCGGATTTTTAGGATTTAATTTAACCGAAGAAAAAACAATGTGCCAATCGAAATCTCAGCCGATTTTAAATATTATCAAATTGGCCTGTCATCATTGCTTTCAAAATAAGCCGTTTCAGGAAATATCTGTCTAATCATTTCGCTTAGTAAAAGATCCGGAAAGAAACAGATGGAATGTATTGTATGGGATACGTTTCGACAGTTGGGCACACCATTTGCAAAGTATATTATTGTAACAGCTGTGTTGTTTGTGCACCGTTATGCGATAATGTCGCATAGAAGAGCCAGGATAAGGAAGGCAGGAAGAGAATAACATCTGTCCACGTCAAAAAATGTTTCACTGCCCATTTAATCTTAACATACCGACAAAAAAAAAGAAAATTTCCTTTAACCGTTTGTCCTCCTTTTTAGAATATAGCAGCTGCTAAGCGTGCTAATCCGGAATAACTGTATTTAGTATCTCATTAACGATAACAATAATATCCGGATGGATGATATTTTAAACAGCAAAGAATAATCGAAATATATTTCAAATCCGGAATACGAAATAGGCTAATATTAGGATGAAATATTGGAAAGAGATTGAAATTTTTCCGTGATTACCATATTTTTTATCCATAATTAAAATTGCAAATTTTGCGAATAGAAAAATTTAACAAATTTCGATATCAATTACAGTTAAAAACTTTCCATTTATGATGTGTACAGTAAGTTCAAAAAAAAAAATCATTTTTATCTTCAGAAATTTTCTTTATAAAAATTTTTGGGAATAATAGAGGTATTAATTCTTGCCGGTTACTCATTGCTATCCATACATTCCCGATATTATTGACAGATCATTTCAGTGTGACATTTTCTCACGTCCCATTTTATTTATTTTTCTTTCGGATAAACATGCATGAAAGAGAACCAGTTTCGTTGTTTAGTAATGGTTTTGTTTGAATGGTTAGGTGTCACTTAATTGTCTCTGTGATATGAGCACATTTGCATCCCAATTTGAGCCTGGGAAAAGTTCATCCTCCATGTGTTGAGCAACTACTTTCCCAGAGCGGTGATCAAGAGGGAGCAGGTGCTGCGATGAAATGCCAGCTGTTCATGGAGTAGGGTGTGGCCATTGGACTGGGGGAGGAGTTCCAGGGTTAAGGGGTGTGTCAGTTTGGCTAATTTCTTCAGAAACAAACGGTACTTTTAGAGTCGAGCAAGCGCCAACTTTCATCTCAACTTCCATCCAATCTGTGTGTAATTTTAACTACTGATAAAAAATGCGATTTCTCGTATCGCCATTCTCATCAAGTGCTTCTTCATCGGGATCCGAATCCGAGAGTAACGCACAAATTCGTATTGGTCGAATCAAGAAGGCATCACGTGAACAACGTCAACGACATCAGCTCATGAACAGATTACGAACAATGGTACCCAATGCCCGAAGTGCTACAACACAGCTTGAACTACTGCAGTATATCATCGATTACATTTCTGATTTACAAGTTAGCAATTTCATTTACTCTTTTATTTGAATTCATTAATCGAAATTCATTTTCATAAAATTCACACTTTCTGACGGTAAGACAGAAAAAGATCAAGTTGAACTTTATATTTATATATAATAAAATAACAAAATGTATTCTAAAAATATTGTGGAAAAAATATATTTAATTTATTTGTAAGAAATAAATGTGTGACAGATAAACAGATAAACAAATTATACGTAAAGTATCCGATACATTATTGCCCCTATCAAAATGATAGTACTGATAACTTCGATAGCTCCGTTGTAATCCAGGCAGAATTGCCGAATAGTTCACTCAAAAATGTTATCTATTTGCAGCAAATTATTGATGATAACGATGATGATAGAAGGATATCAACTGCTGCATCACTCAAGCAAAATCCGACAATCACTGATTTATCGCTTTTATTCTCGAAGATCAACACTTCAACCAATACCAAATCAAATATGAAATATTCCACGAGATATGAATTCCATCAACAGCAAAATAATTCGCACATTCAGATTGCAAAGTACGGTTCGGAATCGCCGTAAAAATAATGAAAAATTTGATTTTTGCTTTAGATACTATATTGATGATCTAATACATTATCGATCGATCACAGTAAATTTGTATAAAATTAACGATGCAAATATTCAGATTTCATTTTCATTCCGGCCGATGAACTGAGGGAAATAATGGGAAGAATATTCTATTGTTTTAATATGAATTACCTATTATCAAAGTGAATTTTCTTTCATTTTGTTTCTGATAGCATGCGTACATAAATATTTACATAAATTTTCAAAGAATTTTTAATCTGTTATTGTATTTATAATTGTTAGTTTCTTTCCATAAAATGAATAATTTCATTTTATCAAATTCTTAATATTTAACGTATAAATTACAATTATTGTTGCGATATCAAACAAAAGAAAATAAACGACGACACAATTTTCTGAATATCAATCTATCCTTAAAACATTCCCTTCACTTTATTTTTACTATGAATTCTTTTTTAATTGAATATTAAAACTTTGCCATCCTTAAAAGACTTTGTAATCAATCATAAAAAGTTTTCGATATTAAACTATCTTTCATCGAACTTTGTAAATTATTTCGTTCTTGAAAATTCAGAACTTAAAATGATGTTACTTGTCAATTCTTGAAAATATATTGTTCGCGGGTTTTTTGTTTGTTTGCTGATAAATTGATTTTTTATGATATTATCTAACATTTTCAACCTTTCAGTATTATCCATTTCTTCGTAATACAAAACAGAATGTAATGTTTTCAAAAAAAAGGAAGCGAAAATTGTTGAATTAGCATGATTCTATTGAATTGACACCTGGTGTACACCTGCTGGACATCTGATGCAAGCATTTAAGCAGTCATGAATTGATATATTTCAAGTGTACTTAGCTTAATGATTTTCCACTCAACTACATGCAAAATAATTGATCAAAAAAGTTTCAGAAATTGTAAATTGAATTGGACATGTTTATGACAAAGAAAAGGATGTTAAACCTGAAATTTGAAAAGTTTTTCAAGCTGAGAATTCTTCAAATTAGATTACATTATTAACAGTGCTTATCAAATGAAATTATATTGTCTTCTTTTAAAATATTGCAATTGAAATTTAAAAAGCAGTACTTTTTGTCCAAAATGATTCCATTTGTTATCAATTCAAAATGGGAGCTGTTGTAGAGGGTTGAAATATGGCGATTTTTTGAAATAGCATTAATGCATGGATGAATTAACTATTTGTTAAACAGTTTGACAGCATTGCAGATAATTTTTATGCAAATTTTTCGATTTGATTCAGTTTTTTAGCGCATTCCATTTCCCTGGTGAGCATGATACTTCAAATTTATTTCATGCATCAAGAAAATTGACATTTTTTTTAATGACCACAAATTTAATGGAATTATTTTAGGTTAAAATTGAATTGGAAGAGAAAGTTAGTAAAATGCTTTATTTTTTTCTGTTTGATTTAATTTAACCCTAAAATAAGCCCATTAAATTTGTGGTCTTTAAAAACTAGGCTCAAATTAGTGCCCTATGTATAAATGTATCCAAGAGGATCAGTTCGTTAGCTATATGATGAAGCAAAAAGGAAGAGCAGCTGTCGTAGGCTTTATATATTTCATATGGCCATTGATTTTGCAGCAGAACCAGATGTCCTCTTGCATACATCTGACACCAGATCCGTGAAGCCTCCTGTTATTGATGGTGATAGTGGTGTATCTGGAAAAGCCAAGAGAGACGACCAGACTCATTCCAGACTTGTAACTTTAAAATAGAGCCAAGAAGCTACGAAAGAATTGTAATAATTCACAATGCATTCATCGTTGAACATATACATTAGAAATCTGTTCAAAATAATTTCTTCACTATGCTGGTTTAGTTGTAATTTTCATTTAAATTTAAATTCAAATTTAATTCATAATATTCAAGCTTGCGAGCAAATTCAACTATTCGAATTCACATGCAAACGAAAAAGAATTTTGAATAATTTGAAATAGTTTGCTTATAATGAATAGATGTGAAGAGTAATTGCAGATAAATGGCTCGAATTATAATTAAATCTGATAATGAGGATAGTGAAGTAATGGAAGAGCTTATCAGTCATCATTTTTTATTATTAATTATTTCATTAATATATTATTCTATTGAAATAAATAATAAAAATTTATTATTAATTATTCCAGTAGAATAATTGTAATAAAATATGTTATTGTATTATTTTGGATAAAAGGAGAGTTGAATGAGAGTGCTAAAGGAAAATGTTTGGATGAGATAACGGATCAGTTAACTTTAGTGACTGGAAACAATTATGGGAGGTATCGGAGGCTCACAAAGAGAATGAAGCATTTATTGCGTCTGAGATAACAGAAATTAAAGGCGGAAGACGATTTTCCGAGAGACGGAATGTCACGAAGGACAGAATAAAAGTAACGACTTATCCTGATAAAGATTGTCACTTGTGCAACTCTAATTTCCATATGAAAACAAATGAGCCATAAAAAGAGAAGAAATTTGTGAACTTTTTATAACACATACCATTTATCTAAAACTCTAACATTATACTTAAATTTTTTCTCTGAAATTTATAGATCGTATTATTTTTATTTAAAAAGAAGTTTCATATATTTACATCTATTCATTTCAATTTAAGAAAAAAAATTGAAATCAGTAAAAATATGAGCTAGCATATATGAAGTAATCAATAGAATTCAGATAGAAATTGAAATTTATCACTCCAAAATGTCATCAGTTGTAAGTCTAAATTGAGTAATTTAAATTGTTATAAATTTTAATTGAAGAGTGTAATATAGTAAATCTTTTTTTCTACATTCTTTCATTTGTGCAATTTCTCTATAATTTGTATATTTGATAGGTGCTTTTTGAAGTATAAATGTGACCTGAAAATTTTCATCAACCAACCTCTTTTTGCATATCTTTCTTGAATAAATGAGATGAATTAGAAGTGGGAAAGGGTACTTCAATAGGTGGCGGCTTTGTTGCGGTAAAGTAAAGAGGACTTAAGGCTATTCGACCGCTGTAGCATCTGTTATACACTTTTTTCTGGACCATGTGCTTGTTTTATATTCGGTATCATCATAATCATTTCTATAACGATTATCATCATTATTATTGTTACTGTTACCACAGTTCTTCCATGAATAACCTTTATTGAATAGGACAGTGAGCCAAAATTAGAGGTCAATTACTATATAGCATTTGCTTGTTGGAATTATTTTTCCATTAAACAATGACCACACTCTTGAAATTTCCCTCATATAAAAATCATCAAAATCAAATTCTGCAAAACAAATTCAGCATTTCTATGAATTAAAAAATCATGAATGCATAAAAAAGGTTAATTAAAGGACGAAATTGAACAAAAAGCACCATGTAACACCTGAAAATTTTTCCTATGATTTATAAATTTACAACATTTCAATTTGTGAAAGTGTAATCAAAAAAAGATATGTGAATTAAAAGGCAATTCTGAGATCTTTATCTTCTTTTTCCTCAATGGTACATGCAAAAAAATTTGCATAATAAAATAATGGAAAGTTCAAGGTGAAGATGGGTAACGTGACATTCTTCGTCCCATATAATTTATTACAGTTAATGATGACCTTGTCAAGCTAATTTCCATTTTCTAAGCCATTCAATGAGGTTAAGAAAATCAGAAGTATTCATTAAAATTTTAAACTATTCCAGTTTTCTTCACACACAACTGCCAGGTCTTGTGGTGTAGTGGC